AACAAAGTGTGCAATATCTGTGCTCATAAACATTGACCAACAGTGAGTATTATAATTGCTCACTATAACTGAACATGGTAGGTAGAAAATTATATCTATTCAAGTTTGCATTTCTCTAAATGTTATGGTAATGATCAAGTTAGATACTTTTTGTAAAATATATAAAGTATTTTTATTGACTGCTTTTACAAAACTGTAGTTATCATTAATTAAAGGTATACCAAATGTATCTTAGGAGCAAGGCAGAAACATATATGTATATATATATACATATATACACATATATATTCAATATCTACATCTATATCTACATAAAATATATAAAACCTTGTTTCAAGTGCTGAATAATGACTGGTGTTGAAAGATGAGTAATGACATTTTGCCCTCCTGCTACTTTCACTCTGGGAGGAGGGGGGACATACTTGCACACTGCTAATCTAAGCAAGCAAATTGGGGAGAAAAGACACTAAATGTGGTTTGAGAACTAGTCAAACTTTGAGTCTCAATTGGAATTTAGGATTAATATATAGCATTTTAAACTTCTACTCTTGGTATGAAATGTTACTGTGTTTTGACAAGACTTTAAAATCAACATCCAAATGCAGTTCTACCTGAAAGTCCCCCAATAACAAACTTTCCTGTTGGTCAGAATTTTTCTTCGGGTAGCTGCAATAACATCACATGACATTCCTAACATGGGCTCTCCTGACCCAAGATCATTCCTGGAGTATTCATTTCTAAAGATAGCAATCTCATTGCTTCTCTGTTCTTTTCCACGAAGAGGTCTGTATTTTCTGTTTGTTGACAGAGATGGCTCTTTTTCTATACCATGAATGACATGGTGTCTACAGGTTATATTTGTGACATCTTCTTGTAATGTAATTTGCATTCACTATGTGTGAAGCCACAAGCTAACGGCTTAGATGAGAATATGGCCAAGCCTAATTAAAGAGCCAAGTCAGGAAATGAATAGGTTGGCAAATAGCTAAGAACTGGATCATGTAGAAGAAAGGACAGCTGTGTTGAGCTCAGGCCCAGAGAAGTCTTTTGAATTTTAGGAGAGGGACAGTCAAAACAGGGCAGCTAATGTGATGAAGTCCAAAAGTGAAACTGGAGCTAAGGATGTATAAGTCAAGAAGTCAAGGAGTTGGAAATCCACTAACTCTGAACATCAATACTGTTCTAGAACAAAAGCTGATTAGATCAGAGGATGAGTGAGTATTGGAGAGGGACACAACCAGGTGAGTTAGGCCACCCGTATATACCTAACAGGATACTATGACAAGAAGATTTATTTGCAGCTACCTGTATCTTATCTTACTCCATCTGTGGCAGAACTCATAATTCTTAAGGAACCACAGTCAATTCTGATCTTATAAGCATGACTTATGAAATGTGTTTATTTAAAAATGATGAAACAATATATACGATGGAATATTAGCCATAAAAAAGAATGAAATCTTGCCATTTGGGACAACATGGATGGACCTGGAAGGTGTTATACTTAGTGAAATAACTCAGACAGAGAAAGACAAATACTGTACGTTTTCCTTTACGTGGAATCTAAAAAATGAAACAAACGAACAAATATAACAAAACAGAAACAGACTCACAGAACAAACTAGTGGTTTCCAGAGGGGAGGGGGCAGGGGAGGGGCAAAACAGGTGAAAGGCTTAAGCGGTACAAACTAGCAGTTATAAAATAAATACGACACAGAGATGTAATGTACAGCACAGGGAAGATAGTCAATACTTTATAATATTGTATAATATTTGTGGTGTATAGTCCATAAAAATATTGAAATACCATGTTGTACACCTGAAAATAATATACTATTATTGTAAGTCAACTATACTTCAATAAATTTTTTAAAAAATATAAAACAAAAAATTTTCTACAGACTAAAATCCTTAGGAAAAAATCTCTTCCTGGATGTAACACATAAAACCTTGGTATTCTAGGTTGACCAGAATGGTTTTCAGATTTACCTGAATTGTAACCTACTTCAGTATGTTATTCAATGTATATTTCAATGGTTTACTTTTGTGGAGTATTAAAGGCTAATGGATACTGCAGGGTTTTCTACATCTTGATGTGGTCTAAAATAAAACAAAATTTTCTTTGTATGGTTGGGATCTGGCAGTTCTTTTAAATTCTTTACTGAAAAACATTTCCAAGAAATGTGTTAGATAAGAAATGTCTTTACCCTCCACTCTCTCACCCACAAAAACTATTCTTCCATGCTTGTTTTAAGTGGGAAAAATTAAATTGTCCACAAGGGCAGTTTGAGCAAGCTGTAACTTGATTTAAATATTTCGCACTCTTCATCTGTACTTTCCCCTGGGATCTTCCAGCCTTCTTTTCCAGAGAAATTTCCATTTTAGTTCTAAGTTTTGATCTTAATTATCTATTCCTTGCTAGTTTCCAGGATTATTCTTGGTGTTCCTAGATCAATGCCAAGGCACAGTTCTCATCTCTTGCAGTAAACATTTTAAAAGGAAAAACCCTGCAAAGTTTCTTTGAATAGAATAAACTTACTTCACATTAGAAAACTAAAGCCAGTTAATTATTAAATCATACTTTATTTTATATATCAAGTTGGATATCACAATAATATCCTCCATTATTAACTACAAAGAAACAGTTAGCTATTTGTGCCGCATCAGAATGAAAACTTTTATTCTTTTGCCTTTTTTCAAACACATCCTAGTTCATTATTTTACTAAAAGGCACTAACAGATGTTAGGCAGAATGTGGCCACATCTGGGACATATAAAATACCATTCCAAGTCTCCATAGAAGGGAAATAGCAGTATTGTTTAGTTCTCCCCAAAAGCTCTACCAGCCCATCTCATTTAATCTGTTTAAGCTGAAGAGTTGAGAGTAGCACCAATTATTTTGGTTGTCTTAGGAATATAAAAAGGAACAATGAATTAAAACACCAAAAGGGAAGTGTCACAAAAAGAAATGCACTATGTTGAAATACAAATTAAAAAAACTTCACTAAAGCTTGTGGCTAGAGCTATATTTTTTCAGCTGAAGAGGTAGTAAATCTTGAGTTGCCTGCTTCCTGAAGCCACCTTGAATTATAGGTCTCTTTAGGCCTTTCTACAATGTTTCTACTTAATTTGACCCTTTCAAAGAAAGCACAACACATCTAAAAGATGGCAAATAAAGATTCTGGTAGAAGATATATTTTGACAGTATATATATATATATATATATATATATTTATATTTATATTTATATTTATATATTTATATATATAGTGATTAAATCCCAAGATATTCCAGTCTTTTAACCTACCTTTTAGTTTTAATTTTGTTTTGTTTTCTTAAAGTAACTTTTCTAAGAAAACAAAAACAAAACCTGATGGTTTTTTGTCAACAGATCAGGTTCATATACTATTATATTTAGCATTATCTCTGGCTTCTTGAAAGTAGACCACATTGAGGACTGGAATAAATACTAGTGTTGAGAGGAAGCTCTGGAGATGTTTGCCTCAGACTGCTTACCCATTAGAAAGAAGAAAAATGCTGGAGTTGTGTATGCAGCACAGAGTGGGAAGGCACATGTGGCATAATGGAATGTATCCTGGACTTGGAGTCAGATTACCTAGGTTTGAGCCTCAGCTCTGCCACTTATGAACTCAATGTTTGGGAGAGTTAGTTAACCATAGAAATCACATTTCCCTCCTCTGTGAAGTAGGAATAATACCTTGGAGAACTGTTCTGAAGAGTCAGTGAAATAATGGATATAAAAGTGTTCTGTAAACTGTGATATATACATAGCTTGTTATTAACAAACTATTGGTGGCCTGCAATTTTCATCTCAGATAAGCAGATAACAATTAGATATTTGGAGCACAGCTGAAAAGAAATCCATGGAGTGGATATAGAATAGGCAGGCGTGAATTTCCATTTGAGACACACTGCCTAAACAGAGAAAGCCTCTGGGGGACTAAATGCAATCTTGATAGGAATGTCTGCTTTTAAGTGGTAAAGCGAGGCAAACCAAGCTCATATGAACTATTCTATTTCATATACACACTGGGATCAAAGATTCCCAGTCTTTCATTCTCTTAACGCCTATTGAAGGAGCATCTATTACATGCCAAGCATTGTGCTAGGTATACGCTGGTGAACAAGATTTCTGCTCTTAAGGAACTTGTGCCCTAGTTACATTAATATCTTTATTCCAAGCACTTGGCAAAGTGTTAGCACATAGTAGATGCTCAGTAAAAGTCGACTGAGCTGAACTAATCTAATTTTGTAGCATTACCATAGCAGAAAGCCAGTAAAGAGATGATTTTTGTGATCAGAGATATCTACCCAATTCACCATGTGATTAACAGGGTACTACTTCTGAAGTTTTGAGGGAAAAGAAACTTTCTAACTAGAGTTCATCTAGTATTATACAGTATTAATTTAATGTCTTCCTGCTTAAAATATAGTTATCACTTCCAATTAGTACATTTAACAAAGGAGCAGGGTGTTAGTAGAAAATGTTTTTCAGGGTGGTATCCCTCATGCCAGGTCGAAAAATTAGCAAAAAGAATATAGCCTGGATATGTCAAATCACTACTGACAGGCTGACTATGGACTTGACATTGATTTAATACACAATTAAAACAAAAGGGAAGAAAAATGGAAAGATCTTTCTATTTATATGATAATCAACTTAACAAGTACAGAGAGTTTATGTTTTGAAAGCATACCTTTCTTGAAGCCACTCAAAAGCGCTAGTGTTATGAAATAAAACTTCTTAGAGTTTTTTCATAATATCTAGAAGCTGACTGGTGGGGTCAGGGTGACTGACATCAGTATTGGCCACCAACATCACCACTTCTTCTGAACTCGGTTCAGCCTCAGCTCAAGGACTCAGTCCCCTTGCAGATGGAGGAGGCTATGTAACTAGTTTGGGCCAATGACATGTAATCAGCGATCTGTTTCCTTCCCAAGCTAAGGCTGTGAAAAGTTCAAAGGGATTCTTTACTCACTTTCTTCCTCTGCCACAGAGACTCAGTTGCTGTGTTCTGGGTGATACAGCTACAAGATGGTGAGCCCTCTGTCAATCTGGAGCCCTCTGTCAGTCCTGGAGTGACTGAAATAGAATGAGTCTGATTCACATGAAGCATGAGCAAGCAATAAACTTCTGTTGTGTTAAGGCACGGAGATTTGTTACTATACCATAACACAGCCCTTCCTGATTAAGGTAGTCAGGGAAGGCCCATAATACTCAGTCCAAGTTTCTGAGTAAGAGATAAAGTAGATAATGAGTTCCATTAATTTGTCAGTAGTGTCTTTCATATTAAGGATGCTAGCCTGAGGTCTAGCTTTTTAATCACATTTAATCCAGATATCCCATAAGTTTTCCATCAATTGTCCTGTGAATTTTTTTAAAGTACCATATTTAACTTTTATCCGTAAAGTTCCTATGCTTTTTACAGATGATCAGTTTCCTCAACATCAATTGAATTTCTTAAACTAACCACACATTATTTTCATAAGCATTTTGACTAAAGCAAAACGTTCTGAATTATGAGCAGCATTAATTGAACATGTGCAGTTGTGAACAAAGAAGGGATATGCTTCTGCAACTGCCCTGTCTCTAGAAAGTGGACCTTGTAGAAGCAGAAGCATTCCTAATTATTTTGATTTTTTTTTTTTCCACATTGGAAAAAGACCTTAACCTTGAAGGGCTGGTAGAATCTGAGAACTGTCATTTCTTATTTAAAGCTTTAGATAGTTAGTGACAGTTTTGAAGTCACTGTCTTTGCTCTTGTTTACCTTAATGGATTGTTAGGTAGGGCACACAGTGTGTTGTGTTTAATATTTTAATGCCTGTCTTCTTTCTTTCTACCTATCCAAAGCTAACACTCACAGTCCTACTCGACTCCGAGCTCCTCAGGAAATCTCCCCTGAACACACCAGCTGGAACGGTTCCTTTGCTTTTCCAAAATCTTATGTAAATTCATACCATTTATTTGGCATTGCTTGTAGAGAGTTTTACAGAATTCAAAAGCTGGAAAGGACCTAAGAATCATTCAACACAATCCTCTCATTTTGCAAATGAGGAAAGTAAAGTCCAGAGCTATTATATAATTTAGTTAAGTCACATAGTTAAGAGACACATTGGAAGCTATAAACCCAGTTCGCCCAATCCCCAGTGCAGTCCATTCCTTCGTGCCACAAGTGCCTTCACATTAACTATCTGGTAGCGTTGGTTACCTTTTCCAGAGAACAGGTCATCTCACCAATAGTATATCTTGAGTTCACGGAACTCTTTCGTTACTTCAGTTTGTAGCTTAATTTATACACATTTTATATACTCTTTGGTAGACTAACTGGTTGTGTTTTAGGGCGTCACAGGCGAGAGGAGGAGTCCGAACCCGATCCCCAGCAACCGGCCAGGGAGGCTTAACGGGGGTCACAGGTAGGGTCAGGAGACCTCAAGGAGAGAGAACGCCGAGTACGAAGTTGCGCAGTCGTCATCCGGGCATTGGCCGGGGGCTCCGTTGCCCCGCGGAGGGCGCCGGGGGGCGGGGCCGGACGGCCCGGGGCGGGGCGGTGGCTCGGGTCCTCCTGGCAGCACGCGGCGGCGCCCCCTCCCCTTGCGCCACGGGCCTCCTGGCGCAGTGCACGTCCCCGTCCCGCGCCTCCGCCCCCTCGCCCACTCGCTCCTTCCCGCCCTCTCCGCTGCGCCGGCCGAGCCGGCTTCCCCTCGGTCTCTCATGAATATTGAGCGGCCCCTGTTGTATTTCCCGAGCTCCATTGCGGAAGCCGAGGCTCGCCATATTGTGCGGCGGCGCCGGCAGCCGCGGCACCCTGTACCTGAGTCTCGCTCCGGCCGCGGCTAGCGCAGCCCCGGACTGGAGCAGGAGCCGGTGAGCGGGGCGGGCGGGTAGGCGAGGGGCGCGGAAGCGGCGGGCTCGGCCGCGCGTTAGCTCGGCGTGGCTGCGGGAGGCTGACGGCCGCCCCGGGGCCGGGGGGGGGGTGTGTTCGCGGGGGTGTGAGGAGAGATGGCGCCGCCACCCCCGGCCGCTCTCGGGGCGGGGATGGCGGGGGAGGCGGCTTCTCATTGTTCCCGTTTCTTCGAGGGTCTTGGCGGGGGTGGGGAGTCCGGCTTGGGGAGGACCCCGTGGGCGAATCTCGGGGATTCCTTCCTTCGTGCGAACCGCTCGCTCCTCTGCGCGGAGGCCGGGGCTGCGGTGCGGCCCCCTCGCCTCCCGGGGCGGGGACCCCAACCTCTCCACGTCCGCTCTCCGGGGGCGAACCGCGTGGAATGCAGGGTTTTCCTCCCCGGGCTTCCCCCTCGCAGCCGAGTGTGTGTGTCCGCACTGTGGAGGGTGAGGTAGGGGCGCTTTGTGCAAATAGCCCGCTTCCCCCCGGGGTGCTGGAGTCAGGGTTCGAGTGTAGAGGCGCTCCTCGGCGTCGGGGTTCTCTGTAGGCTGCGGGGAGACCCCTCCTGGTTAAAACATTCCTGGACTGCCGCTTGCTTGCTCGGGAGTATCTGTTGCTGCTTTCTGAAACCTCGAGGTTGCCCCGGAGGAGTCGTGGGGGGAGGGGGTGTCTTGGTTTGTTTCTGATGGAAGCTTCGCGTTTTGAACCCAGTCGTGTACGCTGAGGTCTTTGGTACCGACTGTCGCCGGGGAGCCCTCGTCCTGGTTGTCAGGATCATTTCCCTTCTACAGACGTTGCATCCATGCTCCCAGAGATAGTAAAAATTGGTCTCTAAAACTTTGAGGTTCATTCCGATTATTTGGCCCCTAAGACCAATTATAGGCTTATTTCCTTGAATCTTTTTGGGGTATCTATTGCCTGGCTGTTAGAAGTTTTAGAGAATGTGTACCTTTACGTCGTAAAATGGTTTGAAAATGTCAGGTTTCTCGAAGGTGTGTAAAGATACTTGTTTGCTGTGAAAAGGGTAGCTTTGCATTCGGTATTGTAATATGGTTTACTTCTTTTAAAAAGTAAAAAAATTGAGACATGGTTTCATTGTTTTAGACTGAGAATTATGTTTAAAACTAATGTGTGTGTGATTTGCATCACACAGTCTACTTTTGGTAGTTCCAAGATGATCAGCTGGAATACTTAGTGTAATTGGCAGATAATCTACTTTCCTCACTTGCATTAGAGTGTAGTTGTTGAGTATTTTAATAACTTAGATTGGTGTTAGAGCTTGGTTTTAAAGTGAGTGTTTCATCCTTTGACTTATAAAGCATTTAAATGGCAGCAATATGACTTTTGGTTATTCCTTTTTTCCCCTAAAATTTCTACTTGTCACAATCAACAGGTATCTTTTAAAATCTTGTTTGTACATTTAATGTGATTTTTAGTAAAATAATGGGTAGTTATATAAGACTCCATTTTCCAAGGCTAACACAGCAAATATGGCCCCTTACTTTTTCTAAGGATTGGAGATAATTTCCTTCAGGTACCGTTGTGGAATACACATTTGAGGTAAATTATAGTAGTTGTGAGAGTGAAATGGAGAATTTATGAAGGAAAACTGCCTGAGTAGGCTAGTCCGCTTGAGTATTAGAAAAATATGCTGATGGTCCTCAAATGTGCTGCATAGAAAGATTTTAAATTAGAACCATTAATATACTGTAGGCAATGCAGACATTCAACAGACTGCGAATTTTGAGTTTTTTCCTCTGCCTGTGTGGAACACTCAGACTGCTAGCTCCCAGCTTTGTGTGGATAGAAATATGGAGCAGGTCAGCAAACATCTTTGGAATTTCATTTGTCTATTACTGACCTGCAGCATGTGGTGTCAGGTCTGTCTCTTTAATTTGATTTATTCGTGATTTGTGTTTATATTATGCAGTCTTTGGAGTAAAGGTGATATATGTCTAATGAATAATATATAACCAGATGTTTCAGTGACAGTTTCTTTTCTATACATTAGCACAGAAGCATAATTCCTTCTAGCAAGAAAAGTGAGTTAACATTAAAATGCACTTTATTAAAATTACGGCAGCATTTCTGGTGTGACTTAAAGCACCTCACACCTTTGTATCGACTCATTTGTTAAATCTGGGGAAACTAGACAATGTATCACAGTTTGCAGTTTTTAAAAAGGGAAAAATACTGTGAGATTATGTACAGTCTGAGGGCATACAGATCTACACTTGATTTTTAATTAATGTTTGTTACGCATGGTGTGGAAGACAGACATTGTCGTCAGACATTAGTTATTTAATTTCCTGATGTTTTTCATTTCTTTGGAATCTTTCAAGATATCAATAAGTTATTATAGTAACTTATTGAATGTTTATTTGCATTTAAGTGAGTAGATCCCCATATAATTTGGGTACAAAGGTACAGTAAAATTTACCCTGTCCATTCTCTGTAGATCCAGCTATCCTGTCTATTCCCCACCGTCCCCCCCTCCCCCCAGACTTTCACTTTGTCTACCTAATGTGTCAGACGGGTCCTCTGGTGTCTCTTGTAAGGTGTATAGCTTGGTTGATTTTAAATGGATATACTGACTGTGGTAATGGGACTTTTGGCAGTTAAGTAGCAGCTGGTGTTAGTGTGTCCATGGGCAGGAGCTAGGTGATGAGTCCCCGAATTATGCTAAGGGAGTAGGTGGCCCCCTCTCCACTTCTGTGCTTTGTGGAGGAACCCCAGTGGAACTGGCATGGACTTTCAACTGTAAAATTTTTTTCACTTCTCTTTTGTCTTATGGATGTTAGGCAGCCGAAGTGGACTAATAATGTCTCGGGCTAGTGATACCTTTTCTTGGATGCTCAGGAACTATATACATACGTTACTAAGAATTCTGAGAAAGATTCTCATTGCTTGAATTTTCCTTCTCTCTACGTATCTGCCATTTTGTCATAATTTTTAAAAATCAATTTATTAAGTACAATAATGAAAAATTATTATTATTATTTTTTTGCGGTACGCGGGCCTCTCACTGTTGTGGCCTCTCCCGTTGCGGAGCACAGGCTCCGGACGCGCAGGCTCAGCGGCCATGGCTCACGGGCCCAGCCGCTCCGCGGCAGCTGGGATCTTCCCGGACCAGGGCACGAATCCGAGTCCCCTGCATCGGCAGGCGGACTCCCAACCACTGCGCCACCAGGGAAGCCCGAAAAATTATTTTTGATATTAACCTCAGATTAAATTGTCTAATGAGGGCATTTTATTAAATGAAGTAACAAACCATAACATTTGAACAAAGCATTTTGGTCGTTTGTTTTCAACAGTTGTGTTGATTTGGGGCTCTTCTGCAAGAGGGATTTCTTTTTGTTCCTATGCTGTAGCGTGTAGTTATAGTTTATGAAGAAGTTGGATTCTAAACGTCAGTGCATAAAATGAAAAACACATGTAGTAAGAAATTATGCTTGAAAATCCCTTAGGATAGGAAAACATACCAATAAGTTCAGTTCAGCTTTAGTGTTGGAATAGATTGTTGTTTCTTTTGTTGAACACTAGATGAAGTAGTCAGCCTGCAGTATGGGCTGTGTTGAACACAGCAAAAAGAAAAAAAGTCTTTAAATATAAGAATCACATTCAGCGTGGCATCATGTTCATACCAGGAGAGGCTTGTGGGAACTGAGACCACTGAGGAACAGCAGACCAGCTCCACTATCTCACATTTTTTCTAGGATACATGTGCTCTAGTGAGAGGATGTGGGGGTGTGTGCTTGGAATAGCCTGAACTGTTTAAGTGTTTCTCATTTCCTCTCTTTTTTTTTCCTTTGCAAGCTGGATAGTTTAAATCACAAAAGTTAAATGATTTTTTTGTTGCAATTTAATAGACACTAATTTAAAGGGTTTGGTGTTTTTTTTTCCCCAAAATATATTTTACCTATAACTCCAATGTTCCTTTGCTTTTCCCTTCAGTAAAGAAGCAAGGTATCTCAGAGGAGAGCAGCTAGAATCACTGTGATTAACAATATATTAGTGTCCAACAGAGAAAACAAACTTCAATAGGAATTTGAACAGAGGGGATTTAATATAGGGAGATGGTTAGATGAGTGTTAAGAGCAAAAAGAGAACGTTATAGTAATCAGTTAAAGAGCTCAGAGAAGAGGTTCTACTGGCCTGGTTCTGAACTTTTGAGGTCAGCCTTGTTGAGCTGCTGATTAGTTCTGGGGGATACTGATAGAAGCTGGAGGCTGGAACCAATTGCTGCTGCCAGTAACTGGAAGGAAGTCCCCTCACCCATCTTCCTGCTTTCCCATCTCCATTCATTACCTCCATTGGCAAAGCCTAACAGGGAGCCCCCTGGCAGAAGAGTTGGTGAAATACAGTTGCACAGTCTCAGCCTAAGCACCACAGAGCAGTCTAGAGTGGTGGTTTTGGAGTTGAGAAACAGGGAGTAAATTACCTGCACAAGTAGTATAGATTCAAATAATTTAAATAGGGAATCCTGTCCTTACCTTGCCTGTTCAAAAAACATATATTGATTATGTTCTGTGTGCCAGACCTTCTGCTAGGGATTAGGGATAGAAAAATGAAGCGAATAGGGTCTCTTATTCAATTGAATAAGCAGAGATGACAAACTACCATACAGTGTGTTAAATGCAGTAACAGATAAGTGATATGCTTTGGGAACCCAAAGGACATAGCAGCCTACTTGCCTCTTCTCTTCCCAGCTAAACCTAATGACTACTGTTTTTATTTGGTATCTTGATCAAATCCAATTTCATTCTGTTTGACTGCTGTCCTATGAAAGCTGTTTCTCTGAGATGCCTCAGATTTATCATGCAGTTATTGTCATTAGTTAAGCATTTCTCTGTGCTTTATTTTTCTAGATTATAAAGACCATCATTTTCTCTGTACTTATAGCCTAGCCTAGTATTTCACACATAGAAGATGTTTGAGGAATATTCATTTTTGCAGTGGATAATGGGAATTAAAGTATTGCTCATTACCTTTGTAGACATTGTTTCCTCCTTCCAAGGTCACTAGAAAATAGTTTGGCTAGAGTGTTATGATCTTATAGATATGAGAATTGAAAGATTTAAATAATTGGTTAATATAAACTATATAGTACAAGTAACTGATCTACAAATAGGACTTTGGATTTCTGATGTGTTGTATTCCAGATCCAGCAGTTTTGGCAGGGATTTTGTTTGATGGCTAAATAACATCCTCTTCTACTTCTCATTTTAGAGCCTAATGTTCTAAAATCTCAAATTATTTTGGGGTGGGGGGAGGAAGAAAAGAAGCCCCTCCTTTTATTTCTTAAAAATAAAAACATCATGCAGTTTCTATTTACATTGTTCTTTTTAGCTGTCTACTGTTTTCTTTTTTCTACTCACTGTGTTGATTACACTACCTCTATTAGCTATTGTAAAATGTGCAAATCTGCATACTTCATTTCGACTTCTTTTTTAGAAGAGTATTCTGCGTGTTTCCCCCACCATACACAGACTATGTTGATTTAACTTAAAACCAACTGATTTTTCACTTATAAAAAGATGTATGCCTCCATGCCAGTAATTGCATTAAATCCTCACTATTTACACTATTTACTGTATAGAGTCTAATTCAGTCTGGGACGGCTGTCTGTATAGAGTCTAATTCAGTCTGGGACAGCTGTCTGTATAGAGTCTAATTCAGTCTGGGACGGCTGTCTTGGAATCCAGCCAAATGTTTTGTAGGCTTTCCTGTATTACAGAAGGGGTAGTGTTGTGTATAGTAGAAGGAGCTTCAGAATTGAAGGCAGGAGGCTTGGTTTCTAGGTCTGGTTCCACTACTAGCAAGATTCTTGGCCTTTCTGTTTTCTTTTCTATAAAAATAATAATAATAAAAAATAGCACTCTCGTTGACCTTCCATGTTATTTGTAAAGGTTTAAGAGGTAATGTAAAGAGCATTGTAAATGTAAGAGGGTGTATTTGAAGAAAGAGAGAGGGACAGATTGATCTGTGGCATGGATCTTGAAAGAGAGAAAGACAGAGATTGATCTGCGGCATAGTTGTGTGTCTACTTTCAAGTTTTTGAGTCTCCATATTTAAAAGAAGATTTTTAGGGTGAAATGGAGTGTGGGAGGAGTTGTAGATGTCCTATAACCCTACTTTTCCCAAGTCTGGTCAATAGTGTAGTATTCCCAATCTCCTTAAATAACTGTCTGTTAAGGTTGATGTGCTTCATTAATTTCCTTTCACCAGGGCTAAATATCTTATGTCATGAGACAATACCCCAAATTTATACACTTAGGCACAGAACTACCACTTTGCAGATTGTTTAAATGACAGGGGCCTAAGGGAGTAGAAGAAATAGATGCTGTTACTATTTTGACTGGAAATTACCTCTTTTGATTTTGTTTTATTTATGTTGTTTTATAATATCAATTACAGAAAATCTCCGTGCTTTTATTTTTTTGGTTACGTCAGGACTTAGTTGCGGCACGTGGGCGCTTTAGTTGTGGCATGTGAACCCTTAGTTGCTGCGTGCATGTGGGATCTAGTTTTCTGAACAGGGAGCAAACCTGGGCCCTCTGCATTGGGAGCTTGGAGTCTTAACCACTGCACCACCAGGGAAGTCCCTCTCTGTGCTTTTAAAAAGACACTTAGCAAGATTAGAAATTATACCTGTTGTTTAGTTTTTTTTTTATTAACACCTTTATTGGAGAATAATTGCTTTACAGTGGTGTATTAGTTTCTGCTGTATAACAAAGTGAATCAGCTATACATACACTTATATCCCCATATCTCCTCCCTCTTGCGCTTCCCTCCCACCTTCCCTATCTCCCCCCCCCCCGCCAGGTGGACACAAAGCTCGGAGCTGATCTCCCTGTGCTGTGCAGCTGCGTCCCACTAGCTATCTGTTTTACCTTTGTAGTGTGTAAATGTCCATGCCACTCTCTCACTTCGTCCCAGCTTACTCTTCCCCTCCCCACGTCCTCAAGTCCATTCTCTAGGTCTGTGTCTTTATTGCTGTCTTGCCTCTACGTTCTTCAGACACATTTTTTTTTTTTAAGATTCCATATATATGTGTTAGCATATGGTATTTGTTTTTCTCTTTCTGACCTCACTCTGTACGACAGTCTCTAGGTCCATTCACCTCATTGCAAATAATTCAATTTAGTTTCTTTTTATGTTGTTTAGTTCTAATGAATTTAATTTCTTATCCTTGATCTTAAAAGCTTTTTTGTTTCTTTGTGGGTAAATATGAACAATTTTTTTGAATTTTATTTTATTTTTTTATATAGCAGGTTCTTATTATCCATTTTATAGATATTAGTGTATATATGTCAATCCCAATCTCCCAGTTCCTCACACCACCACCACCACCATCATGCCCCGCCACTTTTCCCACTTGGTGTCCATACATTTGTTCTCTACATCTGTGTCTCCATTTCTGCCCTGCAAACCGGTTCATCTGTACCATTTTTCTAGGTTCCACATATATGCGTTAATATACAATATTTGTTTTTCTCTTTCTGACTTACTTCACTGTGTATGACGGTCTCTAGATCCATCCACATCTCCACAAATGACCCAATTTCATTCCTTTTTATGGCTGACTAATATTCCATTGTATATATGTACCACATCTTCTTTATCCGTTCGTCTGTCGACGGACATTTAGGTTGCTTCCGTGACCTGGCTATTGTAAATAGTGCTGCAGTGAACATTGGAGTGCATATGTCTTTTTGAATTATGGTTTTCTCTGGGTATATGCCCAGTAGTGGAATTGCTGGGTCCTATGGTAATTTTATTTTTAATTTTTTAAGGAAGCTCCATGCTGTTCTCCATAGTGGCTGTATCAATTTACATTCCCACCAACAGTGCAAGAGGGTTCCCTTTTCTCCATACCCTCTTCAGCATTTGTTGTTTGTAGATTTTCTGATGATGCCCATTCTAACTGCTGTGAGGTGATACTTCATTGTAGTTTTGATTTGCATTTCTCTAACAATTAGTGATGAGCAGCTTTTCATGTGCTTCTTGGCCATCTGTATGTCTTCTTTGGAGAAATGTCTACTTAGGTCTTCTGCCCATTTTTTGATCGGGTTGTTTGTTTTTTAATATTGAGCTGCATGAGCTGTTTATATATTTTGGAGATTAATCCTTTGTCCGTTTATTCGTTTGTGAATATTTTCTCCCATTTTGAGGGTTGTCTTTTCGTCTTGTTTGTAGTTTCCTTTGCTTTGCAAAAGCTTTTAAGTTTCATTAGGTCCCATTTGTTTATTTTTGTTTTTAATTGCGTTACCCTAGGACGTGGATCAAAAGAGATCTTGCTGTGATTTATGTCAAAGAGTGTTCTTCCTATGTTTTCCTCTAAGAGTTTTATAGTGTCCGGTCTTACATTTAGGTCTCTAATCCATTTTGAGTTTTTTTTTGTGTGTATGGTGTTAGGGAGTGTTCTGATTTCATTCTTTTACATGTAGCTGTCCAGTTTTCCCAGCACCACTTATTGAAGAGGCTATCTTTTCTCCATTGTATATCCTTGCCTCGTTTGTCATAGATTAGTTGACCATATGTGCGTGGGTTTATCTCTGGGCTTTCTATCCTGTTCCATTGATCTTTATTTCTGTTTTTGTGCCAGTACCATACTGTCTTGATTACTGTAGCTTTGTAGTATAGTCTGAAGTCAGGGCGTCTGATTCCTCCAGCTCCATTTTTTCCCTCAAGACTGCTTTGACTATTCGGGGTCCTTTGTGTCTCCATACAAATTTTAAGATTTTTTGTTCTAGTTCCGTAAAAAAATGCCATTGGTAATTCGATAGGGATTGCATTGAGTCTGTAAATTGCTTTGGGTAGTATAGTCATTTTTGCAATATTGATTTTTCTAGTCCAAGAACATGGTATATCTCTCCATCTGTTTGTATCATCTTTAATTTCTTTCATCAGTGTCTTACAGTTTTCTGCATACAGATCTTTTGTCTCCCTAGGTAGGTATTTTATTCTCCCTTATTCTCCCCTAAGTATTTTATTCTTTTTGTTGCAGTGGTAAATGGGAGTGTTTCCTTAATTTCTCTTTCAGATTTTTCATCATTAGTGTATAGGAATGCAAGAGATTTGTGTGCATTACTTTTGTATCCTGCAACTTTACCAAATTCATTGATTAGCTCTAGTAGTTTTCTGGTGGCATCTTTAGGATTCTCTGTGTATAGTATCATGCCATGTGCAAACAGTGACAGTTCTACTTTATCTTTTCCAATTTGTATTCCTTTTATTTCTTTTTCTTCTCTGATTGCAGTGGCTAGGACTTCCAAA